AATTTTCAGAAGAGAGACATATAAAATTTCAAAAGCAGCGTCTGATTTCCCACTTTTTCCCACTACATACACCAACTCTTTGGTGTGGGATGCTTTGATTCCATGTTCCTTTAATTTTGCAGTGTAGAAGGATCCCGCTTGATAACCTGATCCGTCGTATCGTCTTAATTCGTTTGTTTCGAGCACATGGTTTTCCTTCCTTTTTTATTGCTTTATATGGATGAATGACCTCTGGGACAAAGCTTCAACCTAATGCCACTAGTGATGTGGATTGATCCATACCCGCCACACAGTACAAGCTAGCTCGATCATTGACCTGCCCACCAAAATTTTACATAAAATTTATTTTCTTTTGATGTTAGCTTATATATATTTGAGATCTTATTAGCAACTCTTATTTGCTTTTGAATTATTGGGATAAAAAAGCATCGTCCAGTAACACTTTTCATTAAACTTTCTATGGACAGAAGATTTTGATTAAATGCTTTTAATATGTAAGAATTGATTTATTTTAAAAGTTAAGATGAGATTGCAAAGGACATAAATGGGTGTATGTGTATGCGAAGGAAATTATTATAATACAAGATCCACATATAGAATAGCTAGACGTCACTCCCTAACATCTCAAATGGAACCATAATATTAATATGATACAAGCACAAGCAATTGAAATACATTTTAACAGTGGAGACATGTGAATCAAATTATAGTAGGTTCCTGAACGATGACTGATAAATATGATCATAGAGTGTGAAGCCGAAAGAGTACTAGCAGGGAGGGACCGATTATACTGCTGGCCCTCTCAAAAGTGAAGAAGAACAAAACTTCGCATGGTGCTTTATGAAACAACAATATAAGATGCTTGCAGCTGCCTATATGTATAAAGCTTTAGCCGTTTTAAAAAAAAAAAAAATTGACTGAGGGTTTTCTCTTTCGAAGCTCGGAACACAAAGGATTTTCACCTCTCTCAACAAATGTGTTTCCAAGAAATTAAACTTGTGTTGCCTTTTTACTATATATATGGAAAATCACAGTGTACTGATCGTTTGTTGTGGTAATTAACAGGAAGAAGGAAATAATTAATCATGGTGTAGCTGTTGAAGAAGAAGCCAAGTTAGCTATCACTCTCGAGGGAATTCCACTCAGACTATGCCAGCCACATGCTGATATCTCTGCCGCCTCATATTAACTGTTAAAACACTGCTCCTTTCTAATTTTTTTTTCCTGAGGTATAAATAATCGAACTACGCAAATAAAAAAAATTAGTTGAAATTGATTAAAGGTAATAAATATGTAAAAAAAAATGTAATCTTTTAAAATACTCTTATTTATAGAGACTAGAGAGAGGTCAATAATGAACAAATATAGAAACATGGAGTAGTTAAGGACATGTTTAGATTGTAGTTAGAAACTGCAAAGGTATCTTGGAATCTATGAAATTGAGATTGCAAACTGAGTTGGACAAAAGCTATTGTTTGGCTGGGTCAACTTTTCTAACCAACTTCTGGCTTTCAACCTCAGTTGGACTCAACAAAGAAAAATCTGACTTTTTAAACTACAGTTTCAAACAGTGATTATTAAAAATGAGTATCTCAGATTTACCCTCACATTTTTCCCTCTATCTCATCTTCTTTGTTATCATAATGAGCTTTTATTTAGGCCAAATAAATTTTAATTTATATTCATGTTTGTCTATTATGTATATTTAATTAATTATCTACAGTGTGTTTTCAAATTTTTCTTTGTAACAAATATTTTTATTTTATAATTTCACAAATAAACTATTTATATTTTATCACAATAATTTTACGTATTTTTTAAATTACTATCACATTAAAAACATAAAATTTCAAACACTATTATTTAATAAAGTCTATGTCCTTTTCAGTCATTTTACAACTAAACTAACTTTTCTATTAATCATTCAAACAACTTTCAACTGACCTTTTAAAAACATATATCCAATTATACTCTAACTGACTTTTACTCTAACTTCAATTACAAAAGTCAGTTGAGCTAAAAGTCAGATTTTTTCAATACCAATCCAAACATACCCAGGAGGTGGCATCAACAATGTAATGGAGGCTTGCCTTTGGTTCAAAAAATAAACTAATAATTAATGGGGTAAAAATAAAAAACTATATTAAAAATTTCAGATAACATGCATATTAATAGGGACATGCTATTCTACACATATATAAGATCCAAGGGAGTACTCCTCCACGAAACGAGTCAAATTATGTACGTTCGTGAGGAACTAGGAAATTAATTAAGCCAACTTTAATCAATCTATTTGCTAAAAAAATTTTAAAAATTAATTAAGCATCCCCTCTCCCTCTCTCTCTCTCTATTTATATATGGCTTCCATATATATATATATATATAGACACACACACAAGTGATATAGATCAATCCTTAACTTCAGAAATTCCCATTTAATAACTTGAGCAATTTTGGGAAGAAGAGTTCGACCTTTCAATGTTAATAGATCAAATGTCTTTTATTATAATACATTTTGACCTCTCCGGCGGGGATAAAATGATAATTAAAGGATCAGCTGTATCCTAAGCAAAATTCGTTGCCTTTAATTGGATGTTGCCTTTATACTAAGCAAAACCTTTAAATGACGCGCAAAGGGAATTTGTTGGTGCTTTTAAGGAGAAAAGGGGAAAAAGGGGGAAGTAATAATATTGTTGAGAAAATTATAAAGTACTCTTCTGGTTCTATTTATAAGATAGATAAGAAAAAGACATTTTTTGTTCTATTTATAGAGTATTGAGAGAAAATTTTTTATATGGATATATAATTTTATCCTTCATTTATTATTGTGTTGACTTTGTTTACATAAACTATAATACATATTAAACAGGTATAAAATTAAAAAATTGTTGAATTTTAAATTAGAGTTAATGAATTTTAAATTTTTTTAGTTTGTGATATATATTAGAAGTGATTTATAAATAAAATAGATCAGAGAAATAATTGATTGTGGTGAATATATGGGGATGGATTATTATGTCAAAGGGTAGATACACTTTGAGTCAATAAAAAGCGAAGAAGTTTCCTTTACCCCATGATTATCAAAAGGAAAAGAAAAGGGCAAGTGTGCGTTGGGCAAGTGAGGAAAGATATTTTCTGGCCTCACAAATGAGTTGCCGGCAAGTGTGACATTATCTTTTGTGGTTTTGGGTTTGCCTCCTTCGGCTCTAGGATTATGAGCTCACCAGCTCACGTGGAGGACACGTGATTTGAAATTCTCGAATTGCCCAGCCTAACAAACGCGTTTTTGGGAGACACGTAAGCCATCATTACCATAACGGTGTTTGATTATCCCTCCTCAGGCACGTGCTCTGTGAGGGTTGATTTCTCACAGTTTTGGCCACGCAAAAAAAAGGTTGATTTCTCGCAACCAATTAAAAAACGTATCATATTATTATCTAAACGAGAAAATAATATAGATTATTTTTACAGGTAATTATCATGCACGTCAATTTCGGTACAACATATATATATATATATATATATGTGTGCTATATATGTAAGCATTGAAATGTATCCTTGGATATAGCTATAGCTAGGGCGCGTACGTTGATGTATACATATAAGTTTATTTATTATATAAATCTTAAAACATAATTTCTTATTAAAATTATATCCTAACCTGATTAGATCATTGATTTTAATTTCACCGAATTAACTTGGCATTATTTACTTAAGAAAATTTCGCTATTGATAATTTCAACCTCCATGGGAGTACATAAACTAGCCAAGCGCGGTCTCTTTTTTTTATCTTATTTTCTAACTTTACTGATATTTAATATTTATAATAATGCCGCAAAAATTTAGTTTTCAAAATATTCCTTCCGGTCCTAAATATAAGACATATTTTTTGTGTGTAAATTACACTATAAAATAGGTTTTATATTTAGAACCGAAAGGAGTACCATGTAAATCATCAGCTTAAGTTAATATGACTCATATAGATAAAAGCAACTGGCTGGAATTCGATCTCTAACATTTTCTCACCCCGCTCTCAAAAGGAATAGTTTCTACTCATCGCACAAAAAAGAAGAAAAAATTCCTAAATCAATCTCAATAAATAATTGAAGTGTTCGTTGGGGAATAAATTTCCTTCGACTTTCTTTACAAAGCGGGAAAAGATAATATTTTATTTCAATTGATACAGCGGGGGATAATGTTACTCCTATAACTTGTGTATAATTAATATGACGGGGCATGAAAAAAAAATGGCATGAGTACAGTTCGTTCTTATCATATTGAATTTGACTTTTGGAAGTTGATAAAGAGGCAAGTAGTGATTAAGTATATAAATGAAGCAGTGAAGCATTTATATGTACTTCTTTGTTATTGAGTCGTCCATCAGGATGTGGCCATGTGTTGGCCTTTGATTGGTCCAACATCTACAAATGGGAGATTTCCGCAAGAGCCAGCCATAACGAATCCAAAGCCAAGCGATGAGTCAAAAGCTACTTTGACAAGGAATTAAGCATCTTCATCAACCACATCAATTTCTTTGAATTATTGTTCCTATATTAGGTCACCAAAAAGTTGTTCAAGATTTAAACAATCATAATCAAATTCCTATTAACATATTACTAGATTTAAGTACGAATCCTTCCCTTCCTTTTTAGCCATTATCTTTTGTAATATTATTTCGGTTTATCAGTCACTTTTTAGGACCCATTCGAAATAGTTTATAAGTAGCTTTTCAATACTGATTTACAGAATACAATACAAGTATATGAGAAGCATTTTATCTCGATTTACGTGAAACGTGCGTATAGAGAATTTTTTAAACCCTCCCAAACATGCCCTTAAGGAACATAATTACTTGGTTTAATTTTTTTATCATATTCCTCGCGTTTATTAACTTTGAAGGTCCGAATATCAACATTAATTTCTAAAAGTAAACTAAATGTATATTAGAGAATTAAAAAAAAAAGAAATTCCAACATATAAATAATCAATATGCTAAAATCTTAAATAGCATAAATGGACGACGAGTACGCTTTTTTCCTCTAACATTGCTGAAGAGAGATTACATGGAGTAAAAAGCACATATAATTCTAACATATCTATTGGCGATGGGAGGCCCGCAGCCGACTACACATTTTCCTTAATACTCCATAAATCCTAGCTACCAAGCTGCTTTTATTAGTAGTTCTAATAAATTCATCCCTTCAAACCTTGTCTCCTTTGGAGAAAAGTTATGGGAAGAATAATTTTCCAATCTCTCTCCCCATGGTACAACACTAGTTAATTAATTAATTAATCAATCAATGTAAATGGGTCATATCCAAAGTGGCTGCTCCCACAAAGAGTTAAGGCCAGAGCTTTCCGCGAAGAAGTTGAGGTTGCTTGAAGTAATGAAGTTCGTATCTTCGAAGGATGATGATGGCGGTGAAGAATATTCCTGAGGAGTACTTGTAGGAGACGTTTGATGATGAGTCTGATCAGTTTGAGTAGTTTGGGCCATTTCCATGCAGAGAAGAGCCACCAGATTGGCTTGCTGTAACTGCATGTTCACTAGCTCTGCTTGTGCCTTCGCCAATTGAGCTTGAAGCTCGTTCACTTGTTTCTGAAGCTGACAAATCGCACCTGCACAGCCATAAACCGGGTCTCTTATTCTTGCACCTGCCTCGTACACCATACTGCTCACCGCATCAGCTCGCTGCGATTCTGGAAGTTCCTGAAAGTATTTGGTTTATTAGTTAATGAGTAGTTTTATTTAAAGGACCACAGAATTGAATAGTTGTAAAGTGACGACTTGGAGTTTTATATACAGTTTCTTTTTTGGTGTGGCTCTAGCTAAGAGGCAATTGGGAGGCCCACATTAGGTATTCGTTAAAAGTAGGCCTTTGAAAACGCAGTTACGTATTATTATGACCTCAAGCATGGGGCTTCATACATTTTTTCGTCCAAATGGGTTTTACTTTTCCAAGTTTGAATGCTATTATTGGCTCCATATAAATTGACTGTGTGCACACTGTGCCGTTTCTATCAAAGATTCGGAAGAGACATTAAAAATTGGGCACTCCTAGACTAGTCCCACGGCCTACATTTTGTCCTCATGAGCACGGTTCTACGTCTGAAACCGGTTCACGAATATGCTTCGCCCGAACCAATTATAGCTTCCCAAAGATTGAATATGAGCCGCAAAAACCTCAAACGGTAGAGATAGAAAATGATGAAGAAGAAGAAGAAGAAGAAGAAATGATAATATAATGCTTTTTAATTACCTGCAAGAACTTGATGATGTTGCTGGCACCGAAGACTCTGTGAGCAATGGTGAACTTAGCAGGCTCAGAAGGAGGGAAATAAGGGGCGAGAACGCATTTTTCTGCACATCTGCGCCTTAAAATCTTACAAGCAGCACAAGGGCTTACGACGACTTGCGGAGTGATATTTGGAGGGGAAGATGAGGACGAAGGAGAGTTAGAGAGAGGGACGGAGGAAGTAGGACTTGGGGTGTTTGGGATTGGATCGCTGGACTCCATGTTTCTCTCGCACGCTTAATAAGTGGATTTGTTTTCTTGTGTTTGGCTCTGAGTGTGTGTGTGTGGTGGAGGAAGGGAGTGGGGTTTGTTTGGGAGGGAGAGAGAGGGGTTTTATAGGAGAAGGGAAGAAGAAGGCCCGTCATCACTAGGAAAAGTGACGTCACTGTTGAAATTCGTTATCTAACGTGGCTGCGCTTGTTTTCCCACTTCTCCTCCGTTAGGTGCTCTGGATTGTGATGCCTTTTGGCTCCTTGTATGAAATTGAAACCCCCCTTCTCCGTTGAAATTTGACCATCCTCTTTTCTCACCGTTTTCCTTTCGCCTCCCCCATTTATTTCTTTTTGTCTCAATGTCATATACTCCTTCAATCCTTAATATAAGACTCATTTAACTAATTTGATTAGATTAAGGAAGTTAGGTAAGTTAGTTAATTATAAGAAAAGTGACACATTTTTTCTAAAATACTATAATCATCTTTTTTAATACCTTCTCTCCCTCTTCTACTTGATTATAGTTGAGGGAGTATCCATAGGGGTAATTTAGAGAAAAATGATAAATATGAGAAATGGGTCTTATATTTAAGACCAAAACCAACTCAAGAATTGGGTCCTATATTAAGGACCGGAGGAGTATCATATATATAAATGTATATCTTATCAATAATAGTCATTATAATGTGTTTTTAATGTTCAAATATGTCATCATATTCGCTCTTATTACTAGTATAAAATATATTTTTTTATAATTGCATTATTTATATACAGTTATCAACCGCCCAACTTGGGACTTTGATGTAATAATGAATAAAACTCGTCGGCCCAAAAAAAAGAAAAAGAAATAATGTACAATACTCACCTACTTTACTCATTCCGTATTGTTTCTCTCTTCTCTCGGCATATTTATTTTTTCCTTTTTTATGAACTTTTTATGTGCAATTTTATCAAATTAATTTCCTGCGTATTGTAAGATGCCCCACTGAATATGCTAGCCAAATGAAATACAGAACAACATCGCGGTGCGGTTAAATGGTAGGGACTCATTTTCTTGGAGTAAAATTGAGGGTTTGAATTATTATTTTTTACTGAGTTTGAAAATATTTAAATATAATTTGATAGCAATGGGTGCTATATGCATATATGACAGTCCTTACCGGTAATTAATTCTCTGCCCTCTGTGGAGGTAATTAATCTTGAAATTTTGCTGGTAGTTTGCCCTGAAATTTTTTTTTCATTGCCCATAATATCTTCCCACTCAAACGATAAGAGACTAATTTCTAGAAGTACTGTCATACGTCGTAGTGAAGACTCCTCCTAACAATATTTTTTTCCATACACACTACCTTAAGTATCAAATTCAGGACATGATATTTAAAGTATTCAAGTTTGCCCTGAATTAGATGAGGAACATGTCCCTCTCATTCCGAAAATCTTGGACTCGGCCCAACAATTGTCCTGCCTATCAATGTGTCATGCTTGTCCGGATTTTTCAACAACTGCTTATTCCTCACTTCAATTATTTCATTATTTATTAGTAGTAGTTCAAGTGTTAATCTAATTTGACTTCATCTCATCTCCTTCCGTCATGTTTAAATTAAAAGGCTTAATCATGCAAAAAGCAAAATTTAATTTGTTCCTTTAACGTACGGCGGGAACGAGGCAAGAACGAAAGTCGCATAATTTAATTAATTTACTTGTTTTTAAAATATGAGTACCGGCCATACTGACATGTTCGATATAATATATAAAAGCATATAGTAAATAAGCTTCCAAACACAGCACAGAGCAAAGATAAATATGCCATCTCCTATGGGAGAACCTTTGGTTCAGCTGAGTCATCTATGCAAATTTTTTATTTGCCGCGATGTCAAATCAGCAAATTACGTTTTAAACACAAACTTTTTCACCTTGCTACTCTGCTTCACACAAGCTATGTGAAGCTGACATGGTATCCTTATCCATGTTTGCCGCGCTTGGAGTTTGTAGTTGGGAGAATTAGAATATGATTTCATATGAGTAATCTAATTACTCTTCCGGTCCTTAATATATGACCTAATTATTAAGTTAATTTTGTTCTTAAATATAAGACTTACTTCTTATATTTATTAATTTTTCCTGAATTATCCTTATAACGCCTCCTTAACTATAATCAAGTAAGTGAAGGAGGAAAGATATTAAAAAAGATGATTATGATGTTTTAGAAAAAACATATTATATTTTTTATAATTAACTACCTTACATAATTTTCTTAATCTAATCAAATTAGTTAAATAGGTCTTATATTAAGGATCAAACGAGTATTAAAAAAAGTTATAACAAGTCAGTAGTATGGATTACTTGTCCTTTTTCAATATCAAAACTTGTCATTGCATGTTACTCACTTATTGTGAAATTTTTTAATAATTAAATTAGGACCGCGCAATAATTCTTTTTATAGTTCTTGTGCCTGGTGTATTGGGTGTGTGAATATCCATGCCCACATCGAAGGGGTCCACACTAAAACTAAAACGTTACGACCGTTTTCGGCCATGACAAGTGGCTAATACTAATTGGAATCGTGCGATTAATTTGTTTATAGTATTGCTACCACCACTGCGACAATGCTATCTTTCTACTCTCTCTTACCCGCCACCTACTTCGATTCGAGTTAAAGATGAAAGTTCATCTCTTTTTTTTTTTTTTCCAAAAAAAAGGAACTAAGTGAAAGAATCCTGAGAGATCACTTCATTATCAGTATCAGGTCTGTTTTTATTAAAAGAACGGAGGCCAATACGATGTTGACATTGAAGTCTTCAATTTTCTTACGTCGCTTTGGTGTCATTATTGGAACAAAATAATGGTGTATTAGGCCATTCAGAGAGAGTAGTTTGATGAAAACAAAAGGATATGAAGTATACAGCACATAAAAGTTAACGAAAGTGCAGCTTCTGAGAAAGAAGCAATGTGTCTGTTTGCAGAATGGAAGTATCTGTGAGAGGTAGAGGCAGAGAGGCAATAGGGCACAGAGTGGGGGCAAGGTTGGTGAAGAGCCGGTCAGCTCGTTGGACACATGAAGTGAGAAATTAGGGAAGCTGCCATTATGGATTCCGACCTTTCAAATGTCTAGAAGTGTATGTAGATACAACAATATGCTGTTTTAGATTTTTCTTTTGAAAAAAAAACTTAATTTGAAAGGTATATGTTGGGCACATAGAATTAAAATATGTATTGTTAGTTTGATTTTGAGCCGTAGCTAGCTTATCTCTAAGGTGACAAAGCTTTCTACGGCTAAAGAAAAGGGGGGAATTTCAACTAAGCGGTGGAAGTAGTTGGACCTTTGTTATTTAGCAGCAATATTTTTCTTTCCCATTATCAATTTAGCACCTTCAAAGAGTCTTTAGCGCGTGGACCTTAACGAAAGCAAAGAAATTAGAGAACCACTAGCCAACTCACTTTACGGTTCACTCCCACTAAACCCAGCTTCTCCTTAATGTTTTTCTCGCCTCTTAAAATACACGTTCATATTGATGATATAACGTGACCTATAAAAGGTATTTACAGAAGAACTTGTGTATGGAACATGGATAATCTCTTTCCTTCTTTTGCTCCACTACTTCGCACGTTCATTATTGATCCTTTCAAAAGGTCGCTTCACCATTAAAAGAAGGTCTTGGTTAGTGTGCGAGCGTGTGTGTGTGTCTGTATATGTGTGTATATAGTTATAAAAGATGTCCTTCATCTTTAGAGACAGTGTCACATCTGAACACAAAAGGATGGTGCAAGGTGTTTACAAGTCTAAAGAGGAACTTTAGCGTGGAGGGGTCCGCAGTGGGATAATTATGACCTGCCCAAGGAAAATAGAAACAATGTCGAATGGTCGTGTGCTGCTATTATCACAACATGTGTCGTTGTAAGCTCATAATTATTAACGAACTACGGTCATCCCACTCTCTTTGCATCGCCGTTTAGCAAAGTCCAACGATATGAAAAAAGATGTTTTTGTACCTAGTCCACGTAATGAATGCAGATTCCTCAACTCCTTCTGAGGCTGGTCCTTGATGAATCAGGAACAGAAATTTAAACCCCGCTTCACAGGGCACTGAGATTTGTAACATGTGTAGGCTGTGGAAGGGAAGAAGAAGACCGCAGGGGAAAGATTCTCCGGTCATGATCAACTCTAAGTTGAATTGAATAATAGTAATTGAGTACTGAATATTGATGCAGGCCTCGCTAAGTTGGGTAAATGATTTGTTGTGCAAAACAGGAAAGTAAAGGATAAGAGAAAATTACCGTGGTTTGATCAGTGTGATGGATCCACATCCGCTTGTAAGGAGACACTTTGTTTACTTAATTCGTTTTGTTATTCCTCTGAGAGTTTAGCGCTTTGCCTCCAGATTCTCTTTTTTCTTTTTTTGGCCGACACTTTGCTTCCATATTCGTTCATAATTCTTTCACCATGCTTCTCAAGTATTAGATAGGGCCCACACGGTCACGGCGACAACTCACAGCAAGGAGAGGTCCTTTCACTCTAGCCAGTTCCGTACTCAGACCGCTTAGACTTGTTTAGCTCATCTATGATGTCTGTCGACTTAACCAGCCAACCCATCAATCTGCAAAACAATGCTGCAGATTAAACCAGTATAGCAAAATACTATCTCCGGTTCTATTTATAAAATCTTATTTCTATTTCGATTCTAATTATAAAACCTCGTTTGTAAGTTACAAATAAGATCTTATAATTAAAATAGAAAAAGATAATGATATCTTTCAATTGAAATATAGATAGATAGATAACTGTGACGTGGCCTTGGTGGGATTCAAATAGTCTTGTTTTTTTTTTTGGGGGGGGGGCGGTTGGGAGTCAAAGTTAACACACTGTCTCGCACAGTCCTCTATCCTAATCCCCACAAATTCCATAGAGAAAGGGTGCCACGTGTGGCAGGAAGAAAATCTAATGATGAGAATTTGGACTAATTTGTTAAGATGTTTGGTTCTACTTTCTCTTATCAGTAAATGTAAGAATCTAGCTTTCTTTCAAGAGTTCTGCAGTTCATGCCCAACGAAATTAACGAGTATTTAAATTCAGGGCAAGGTATCTAAATT